CACCACGACGACACACACACACACACACACACATACACACACACACACACACACACGGCAGTTCTAAACCCAGCCACCAGGGAGCAGCGGGACACACACACACACAGAGCAGTTCTGAGCCCAGCCACTAGGGGGCAGCGCTCCCCCCCCATCCCCACGGCAGCCCCCGCCCGCGCTCACCAGCTGGCAGAACTCCATGATGAGCAGGAAGGGGATGGTCTCCGTGCACAGCCCCAGACACTGCAGGATGTTGGGGTGCTGAAGGCTTCTTCAAAGCGGGGGGCGGGGGAAGGAGAGAGAGAGAAAGCACTGTCATTCCTCATGGCCACAGCAGCACCCGGACGCCTGGGTTCTATCCCAGCATTCTATGTGGTGGTTAGAGTGGGGAGGGGGCTGGGAGCCAGGACTCCTGGGTTCTCTCGGCAGCTCTGAAAATGACTTGGTCTGGGCAAGCCCCACCCCTGTGTGCCTCGATTTCCCCCTCCGCAACGTTGGGGGGGAGGCTCCTGCCCTTTCCGCAAGGGGCAGGAACTTTCCCGAACGGCTGAAAGATACTGTGGGATCCTCAGCGGAGGGGAGCGGGGGACGATCCCAGTGACTAGATCCCCCAAATCCCGTCCGGCCTCAGTCCCTTCCCAGATCTTCCCGTACTGCCGGGCTGGGGAAGGAGGGGTCAGGCGGGGGAGGGTGATTTTTAGCTGTGGGACTTTTATCTCGACCCTGTGGCTTTAAACACGGGTGTGGCAAGCCCCGCCCGCAATCTCAGTACATCTGGGTCCAAGCAGGACCACCGTGGGCTGCTTTCACGCCACTGCGTTTCCTCCTCTTATCTTTGTGCTTTAAGGATGCTGAGATGCGGCTGATTCTGGGGTGGGGCATGAGGGCTGGGTATGCGGGAACTCCTCGCCCGGTGCTCAGATGCAGCCACCTCTGGGGTGGGGCATGGGGGCTGGGTATACAGGGACCCCTCACCCAGTGCTGAGATGCAGTCACTTCTGGGGTGCCCCCATCCCCTAATTACCGATAGGGCTGAGCCTCCGACAGGAACTTCCTCTGCTCCAGGGGTCCGGCGCTGACCCGGAGCTCCTTCACCACCACCTGGGCTGGGGTGAAGTCTGAGAAGACCTCCCCCAGGATCACCTAGGAGACAGAGCTGACAGCCATACTGCAGGGTCTGTGCCTCAATGGGTCCCCATCCTCCCCCCATGCCTCCACCTGTGCTGGGGACCCCCCCGTCAGAGGGCAGATTGGAGTGCAGTCTCTGAAGCCCCTCCAGCCCTCGACCTCTCTGGAACGGGGGCTGCAGAGACCCAGCAAACTTGTTTCACACGGGGGCCACAAATTGGGGTGTCAGATGAGAACAGCTCCCTGTCACTAGAGGGGAAAGGCCCTTTGCCGCATTCCCCACCCCCCTGAGCCAGCCAGTCCCTGCCCTGGGGCTGGATGGGAGCCGGCGCCTCCTAGAGGAGAAAGGCCCGTGACCCTTTCCCCACCCCCCTGAGCCAGCCAGTCCCTGCTCTGGGGACGGGTGGGAGCAGACACTCCCTGGATGTGACATCTGTAGAGGCCGGGGCGGCAGATAGTGAAGTGGCAGGGGAGACGCACTCACCTTCCCAAACCAGCCGTTCCCGATCTCCTGCAGGTAGCTGAGGTGCTGCCGGCTCAAGCCCAGATGCTTCACTAGGTCTGGAAGGGGACACAGGAGGGTGAGGAGGGGGTTGAACTCTGCCAGCGGCTCCACCAGGGAGAAGGGAGCTCCCGTGATGGCTCCCTACCCACCTTCATCCTATCCCTCCTCCCAGCAGGAAAGGGTTGGGACCAGGAGGTCGCGATACTCCTTCAGGCCCCCCCAGGAAGCTGGGCCATCAGCTCATTCACAATGCAGCTTCCAGAATCACTAGCTAATCTAGAACCATGTTCCCAGAGTAACTGCATCCTCATTGGGTCATCTAGAACATGGCTTCTAATGGAACAGGCACCTCAACTGCTAGTCTAGAATGTGCATTCTAGAGTGGCTTCATCTGCATTTGCTCCTCTAGAACCTCAATGGTTTAGAATCGGGTTGCAAGAGTCATTGCGCCTCAGAACATTTTTTTCTAATGAAACCCTAGTGTCATAGACTAATCTAGAACACTGTGTCCAGAGCTGCTTTGTCCACACTAGTTAGTCTAGAATATTACTTGTGTATTAAGAGATTTCCAGAGTGTCTGCATCCAGGATAACTAAGCTAGAACATCATTAGTCTAGACCCTCTTTCCAGCATCTGGTTAGTCTAAGCCTGCTTTATAGTGTCACTGCTGCCTCATTGGTTAGTCTAGAACCCGATTTCTTGATTTGCTGCATCTACACTGGCTACTCTAGATCCCAACCTCCAGTCTCTGAATCTTCATTGGTTAGTGTTGAATGTGGTTACCAGAATCTCTGCATTCTCATTGGGTAGTCTAGAACATGGTTCTGTGGTCTTTTGCCCTATCTGCTGATCCTGAGTGTGGTATCTAATGTCATTGTGTCTCAGATGCTAGTTCAAGGGTGCAGCCATTTCAGCTCTTTTGTCTGGTCTAGTTTTGACCTAATAAATCATCAGTGGCTGATCTAGATCCTGATTTCTAGAGTAATTTTATCCACAGTGGTGGGTCTACAAATAGTCTCTCGACTCTCACTGGGTAGCTTATAACCCTATTTCCAGAGTCACGCCATCCCCACTGGCTAGCCTGGAAACAGAGTCCATCCATCTCCATTGACCAGAATCACCTCTTCCATGTTGATTAGCCTAGAACCAGAGCTTTCTCATCCCTGTCAACTACCTAAAACAAGAGTCACCACATCCCAGTTGAGTAGTCTAGAACCAGTGCCTCCCCATGGACTAGTTTAGAACCAGTACCACCAATCCCACTGACTAGCCTAGAACCAGAGCCTCCCTGCCTACATAGACTAGTCTAGAACCAGGACTTCCCCTTGTCCGTTGACTAACCAAGAACCAGAGCCACCCAGTCCCCATTGACTAGCCTAGAACCAAGCTAACATAGCCCATTCCCACTGGATAACCTAGAATCTGGTTTTCCAATCCACCCCATCCCCACAGTCCGGGCATGTGTCACACCCAGTTGGGAGACAAGCATGTCCCCTACCTGTCTTGGGCATCTGCTGGC